CTATCGGAGGTGAATTCAGATCATTCCTATGAGCGTGCTGGTGCCTGGCATTATTAGTGTGATGGTATGATTGGAGTCCACTCCCTGTTGGCAGGTTATTCTCAAACAGTGACCTCGTTAGACATGAACGGCACATCTTGGGCATTTTTCATGCAACAGTGACTGGAACTGTTAATTGTAGCCTAGAAGTCCTGTGGAGTTATCTCTGATCAGACATTCCCAATTGATTTGAACCTCCCTTATGTGTCAGCCAGCTGTTTACAGAGACTCAGTGTAGTCCAATGCCAGAATTTTTTATTTCCTTGGCAAGGGGATTTAGTCTTTTTGTTTTGCAGTGCAGCTAGCTGCCTCTGAGGCAAGAGACAGTGGTGCATGGGCTCCAGCTGACTGTGGGGCCAGCTCAGGTTCACACTTGGGCTTATCTAAAATCCTCTGGGGCTCAGCCCTGCTCCATTTCAGACTAGAAGCTCCTCTGGAAGATCATTCCTCTGGATTGATGAAGGGATTTGGAAAAAGCATCCTGAAGTGTCCTAGTGTCTTGTGCTTGTGTAGTTCAGAGCAAACAGGGAAAGGCAGAGTCTGTTTTAGGAAATGTTAGAAAGTCCACTGCTCTTTCAAATGTTTCTTGTATCCTTCAACCTTCTTCAGAACCTGCTCTTGTTTTCACATCCATCTTCAATGCAAGAAATGCTGCCTTGATGTTCCTCTACCAATAACCCCAAATCAAATGTCTGTCTAATCAGCTGTAAAAGCCAATGAACAAAGTCATCGAATGTTGAAAGCAAAATTTCTTGTGCTGGTTCTGAAGAGGGCTGTGAATGAGGCCCCTGGGAGCCCCTGACATCTCTTCTGCCACTTTTAGTCCTCAACTCGGGTGGACACCATGGCATTAGACAGCAGAGTAAAGGCGGTGGTGGTTTCCCATGCCATCATTGCCATATGCATGTCCACTAAAGCCACAAGCAGTTACTGATGGGAACTTAATCTTTGGTTATGACACTTTCTTTGAGGTTTAATTTTTGTGATGCCAAGCGTACTTGCTTGGATCATTGTCGGCAGCGTGTCCCAGCAAAGGGAGCAGGTCGTGTGTGGCACCAGCTGATGTGATGGCCTTGGAACACTCCTGCTCCCAGCTGGCACTGAGTTACAGGCTGGGTTCCTGCTCTCCAGCCCCGTGTTGTGGGGTTCCATGCAGTAGCACAAGGACCATGTGTGTGTTCCCAGTCCACCTGTGTGATGGAAGCTCTGAGCAGGCCTGACTTAGAACAAGCCTTAGGACTTCCCTGATGAGGAGGAGACAGCACGGAAGGGCATGTTGACTTCAGAGGAGCAGGACATCCCAAAGTACCTGTGTTTTGCTATACACTCCCCTCTTGGAGGCTCTGGAGCCCTTGGGGACCTGGCAGAGGAGCACAATGTTGTTCTTGGTGCGAGGGATTCAGTTTCCCTCGAAACCTATGCAGGCTTCTTTTACACTGGAGACCCATTTTCAGTGTTTTCTCTACATTTCTGTGGGCCCATCCTTTTTCTTGTAGCCAGGCTAAGATGCCAAACGAGTTGTGGACTGGACATAGCAACACTGGACACTGTCTTAGCTCTCACAGCACTCTGCTGTGCCCTGTGTCACCTGAGCTGGCTTTCCTCTGCCATCCTGTTAATTTTCCTTCCTTTTTGTTGCTCCCTTCCTGCTGCCAAGCCTTTCAGCTTTATTGATGCTTATGGTTGCTGTTGCTGTGCTTGGAGGGGACCAACGACTTTCAAAGATCAACCTGCAGGAGACTCTTTGCAGAAGAGCTGCTGTGTGCAGCCACACCAAGCCTGTTCTCTGACAGCCCTGCCCTTTACGATAACCTTCCTTCAGGGCTCTGCCAGAGGCATCTCACAGCAGCTGTTTCAGAGGTTGTTTTTCTCAGCCACTTGCTTTGCCTCTTGACTGGAGGGAGGAGTGCTGTGTCACACTGATGGATTTCCCAACGCAGTTGCAAGACCTCCATAAAAATGGTTTTGCACTGATATGGCAGGTTACGAGCAGGGCAGCTGGGGAGCAGGTGCACCTCCTGCTCTGCCATCATGGTATGGGGACAGTAATTTTCAGCAGGAGCCTCTTCCATAAATTCAAGTTTAGCAAAGCCTTGAGAGGCACAACAGCAATTAGATTAAACTGCAGTTTTCCCTTTTGTCTTATGCAGGCGCAGCAGGGCACTTTCTCCTGGCATTCCTTAGCAAACAATCGTTGTGTCCTGCGGAGATCAGCTGATGTTACTAAATCTCACTTTTTCCCTGTGTGTGCATGTGCTTTTCTGCGTGGCTGCATTCAGATGTGCTGCCCTTGCTGCCTGTTCCTGCTGGTTGAGAGCTAGAGTGCAAGGGGATGATCCTGGGAGTGCCCTGAGAGAAATCTCAACTGCAAATAGTTTTTCTGCTTTCCTGATACTGAGGTGGGAGAGTTACAGTGTGCGCAGACCTGCAGGCGAGGGGAGGAGGGCTCAGCACCTCCATGGCAGCCTGTTTGTGCCAGGGAGGGTCACAGGTAGGTCGCAGTGGTAACCCTCGGGTGCCTGTGCCCTGAGCGTGTGCTCGTAGGCTGCCCTGGTCCTTCCAAAGGTGGGGGTGGTGGTGTCTGATTCTCTATCTAGTCTCTCAGGTTGGCTCCCAGAGACTTGCATGTTCTGATGGTGGCATGTGATGTACAGGCTGCCACTGGGTTGTCTCGCTGTTTATTTTTAGGGAGTGAAATTGATGTGCAGATCAATAGACAGTTTTGGTTTTAATTGAGTGGGAAGAGCAAGGTGTTGCTCTGCAGGCTGTTAACTCTGCCCAGTTTTTCCTACTCCTGCTGTTGGATGCTGCAGGCTGGTGTGTGCCTCTGTTTACAGCTGGTGGATGAGAAGTCAACGCTGAGGTAATCGGAGAATAGCCCTGAAGGTGTGAGCCAGATGGTTGTCTTCCAGTTCTGCTTTAATTCTTCTATTGCCATCCCCTCTCTCCAGCACCTGTGAGACTTGAGACAGGTTTGCTCTGGGGCAACTCTGCTCTCACCAGCCCTGTTCATAGTGATGGCTTTCCAAAGCCGCCTAAAATGTTCACAGCACATGCCCGAATGTCAGAGATGCTTCTCTTAGCTGCAGAAGCTCATGGATGTGGGTTTGGGAAAGGTATAAACAGGAGGATTGCCCCATTCCTGGGGGAGTGGAGTGTAGCAGGTCAGGCTTGAATGCCAACCCCTGCTCTTGGGCTCCCAGGTGGGGTGGATTTCTTACAGCAGCAATACCATCTGCCTCTGTTCAGACACCCACGTAGAGGGGGAAGGAACAGGGGATTCCAGAAGAGCCCGAAACTTTATACAAAAATTTTTGTCTAGAGGTTTGGATCTGTGCTGGTTAAAGCTAATGTTTCTGTGTGTCTTAATTTATAGGACTAGTTGCACTTTCAGCTTAGCTGTGTGGGGCTGGTTTCCCTTCTCGTGCTGCAGGCTGAGCACGCTTTGTGGGGCTGCCTGCACCTTGGGTGTTGTATCGCAGTGTAGTGTGTAGTCGGGATGGAAGATAAACACTGGGAGGTGGGGAGTGCAGAGGGGGTGGTAGTTTCAGGCCTAGCACATCAGCACAGGAGAACGTAAGTTTTAAATGCTCCCTTTTAAAATAGTTGTCTCTACATTGAAGTTTCCTTTCTTCAGCCAGACTGTTTGTTCTTATGCCAGCATTCTGTGGGTCGTGGGGAAGATGCTATCTGGTGTTTCTAGAACATGAGAGCAGTAGGTGGGTAGAAGAAAGGGTTCAGCCCCTCTGAGTGAGTGGGATGAAGGAAGGCACTCTGCCTCCTGCACCTCCTCTGCAGGCAGTGGTGTCTGTGCAGGCAGCACTGCCCAGCTGAACCGTACAGGCTGTCCGGGCACTTTTACAGGGACAGCCCAGTGGGGCGTTGAGTCTGAGTACTCACTTAAAATATAAAAAGGAGAGAGTAACTAAGAAGCCAAAGCTGAGCCACTAATGGGTTTCACTTTCCAGTTTCTGATGTGGTAACAGTATTTAAGTTTGTGCATGTTTTGCCCCCCAAGACAGTAACTTGTTTTAATAAAGAGTAAGTGCGACCACGTTTTCAAAGCATCTGGCTTCAGACAACTCCTTTATAAATGCTTCTGTTTTTTTTCCTGTTATTACCATGGCAGGGTACTTTAGTACACTTATCTTTTAATCTGAATTTTGAGCTGCGTATTCATGGAATTTACAATGCCTTGTTTCAACTGGTTGGTGTGTAAAGAGAAGGTTTTTAAGTGGTGTGGAAATGACACAGAAAGCAGAGGCACGTTCTAGTATTCCCAATATAGCCAGTATCACTGGCCCTAGTATTTGCTGAGGACAGAGTATTACGTTGCCCTGATCATTTGTTCAGCTCCTCTGGCTGCCAAACAAACTGTGTGTGCTCTTGCTGCAGTGGTGGGTATTTGTGTGCAGGGGCTATTAAATGAAACATTTTTAAAATATTTTTCTTTCTGGTTGAAAAATGGTTTTCTGATTTGAATGTACTGTCAGACAGCTTAGTCCCGTGTGTGATGAGTAGGCTATGGGTTCATACTTCAGCTGACTGATAAGCATTACAGTGGAAAAATTATACAAATTATCTTGATGACATAGTGTGGCTTGCTTCAGTCAATCTGCCTGAATGGGTATTTTCCTGGCAGAGCCATAAATGGAGCTTCCTGTTGAGAATGTTATTCATCAAAGCAATAATTTGATAATTTTTTAAAAAAAATATTGTAGCAACTTTTAAATTGAAGCTGAGGCTGTGTAGACACCCCAAATTCTGGTAGCCTGGAGATAGCACAAATGAGTCAGCATGCAGAATTATCAGTGTGACCGAGATTTGAGTATTGGTTGGTAGAGTACAACGCTTTTCTGTAGTAAAGTATAAAACTACCCTTGTTGAATTGTACTCATCATATAACCTCATTGGAGCTTTTATTTAGAGGACCAAATATTCTCCTGTCAATTCTCTTACAGGCTCATGACGAAGTCTGCCCTGAATTTCCACTGACTTGTGAAGGCTGTGGGAAGAAGATCCCAAGGGAGAAGGTACCTTCCAGCTGTTGGTGAACCTCGTGCCACGGTGGCGTTTGGCGTCCTGATGGGCTGACACCAGCGGGCTTGGAGTAGAGAGGAAAACCAAGACCATTAGAAAGTGAAATGGGAAAAACAATTAAGTGGCAGCCATTAGTACAGATGTGACCTTTCCATAAGGCTCAAAATACTGGTCAGGTGGGGTGAGCATGACTCATTGGCACTTGTAGCTTTGTGTTCGTGCTGCTGACACTGCCTCCCTTTGAGTGGTGTCTTGGGTGCAGAACCTCCATGGGAAAAGCACACTTGTGGTTTTAAGGGGTACTTCTGTCCTGTGTAACTATATCAACCACTGCTGCTATTTTTGGAAGGGAGCCCATCTCCAGCTAAATTAATGTATTCCAAATTATCATGTAAAAAATCCATATCTATAGGTTCCCCCCTGCTGCTGACTCCTGGGGCAAGGCTCAAAAGTCTGAAAATCAAAGGTTTTGGGAAACATCTTCAGAAAACATCTGAAACCATCCTGCCTGCTACAGGCAAATATTTTTAGTAGCACTGTTGCAAAAGGTCATTTGAGCAGGGCAGGGGGAACAGAAGCATCAAAAAGATGAGTGAAGGGTTCTTCTAAATGGGCAGAGTAACGAAGGACTTGGTGCTGGGGTCTTGGGATACAGATCTGCTTGTCTGCAGGCTGAAGCTGGAGCCCAGCAGAGACTAGGCTTGTAGGATTCCCAAAGGTGATCTCTCCTTTGTTTAAATATTAACTCCCTCTTTTATCCCTCTCCAAACTTCTGTTGATTAGCTGCAGCCGTTGTAACTCTCAGTAACCTGACTCATTAAGCAAGCCAGATGGATCTAGAAGCTTTTAAGAAAGTGGTTTTAAAAGTTTTAATCAACATTTGTTGTAGCAGATGTAGGTGTTAAATGTGGAATATGGTTGTTGTTCAGAACAGACCACTGTTATCTGATGAGGAGAGGTATATCAAAAACAAGATGGTGATGTGCCAGTGCTTGTTAGCATTAATCATGCACTGTGTGGGAACCCAAACAAGTCATCCTGGCAGCTGGGGGTTAGTGGCACTTCTCTGTAGAAATATCCACCGTTGGCCTTGGCTCCTTATAGAGCTTCAGCTGCCAGATGAGTGGTGTCCAAGGTGCAGTGTCCTTCAGCACCCCAGTGACATGAAGCTGGACCCAGCAGAGCAGCTTCCCTCACACAGGTAGACTTGCAGTAATTGCTATAAATACTCAGGCAGGACTACTGGGAAGCCTTTTGTTCTCAGATGTGTAATGCTTACCTGGAAGTAAAAATACCAAGCTGCAGTGGGTTATATGAAGTGCCCAAAATTAAACAGCTATCTGTTTCATAGGGTTGTTCCTTATGCCTCCCCTTCCTCTGCCCTTAGTGAAGATTGTTGCTCAGCAATGTGTACCTGTGCTGGTTGCTTTTTCTTTCTTGCATATGCAGGTGAGAAGTGAGACCTAGCTGTCAAGAGAAAGAGAAATAAAACTTCCTTCCACATACGTGTCAGTGCTGTATTTACCTTACAGTGGAAGTCATACCTAATCGTAGGTAGTGTCCAGGTTTAACTAGTTTGGCAGCTAGTGATTACTGATGACTTGGGTGTTCTTGAGATCACCTTCAGTTTTCTAGGTGTCAGCAAGATGGAAAGGGATCTGCTGGGGACATGTAAGATCTAACATTGCCTTCCTTTCTTTCTAGTTTCGGGACCATGTGAAAATTTGTGGCAGATCTAAAGTGCCTTGCAGATTTGAGGTTGTCGGGTGTGCTGAGGTGGTAAGGGCTTGTCTGTTGATGTTTATCATGGGACTTGTTTTCAGTTCCAGTGTTAGAGTTGATCTGCAAACTGCTGTTGCCCAAACTGTTACAGATGTTTGTATTCAGATACTTGAACAAAGTGGTGTTTAAGACCCTTTGCAAATGGAGCTTGACATCATCTGCTGTCCAGTTTGGGTGTCCAGAGAATGAACTTAATGTGGAAGGAAACCTCCTCCCTCTTGAGGAACACCCTGAGTGATTTGGGACCCTGGTGGTTATGTTGCTTTCAGCTGTAAGCGCAGATCTGGGGCCAGGCCATATTTCTCCATGTCACTTAGTTTTCCCAGCTCCTATTTGGTGATGTTCATACAAATTCCTCCTCGGGGGGATTACATGAGGCTTTGTCCTTGGTGCTGTTCAGTACATCTGGCAGAGCCCGTTTGGGAAGTAATGGGGGAAGACAGGGTAGAGCGGTGTACAACTGGGGAAAAGTTAAACATCCATCTATGTATGTGATTTGCATCATTTCTAAAACAAAACACCCCACCCTCAAAACGGGTTTTTTAACTATCTTTCTTTGGGTTTTCCACTTTATAATTTAAAGCTAACGTTGTGACCTCAAGAGGAGGAATTTGTTCTGTGGATGGTGACAGCGTAGATTGAGATTGCTGAATGAGGGCTGTATTTCTCTTCATGTAGGTGGAAAATGAAAAGCTACTAGAACATGAAAGCAAGTGTTTGGCGGAGCATCTCTACATGCTACTGAGTTTTGTGCTCAGCCTCAAGGCTGGGTCTGGAGACCTAAAGCCCCTTCCTGCCCTTTCCTCATCACAAAACAACTCCCCACTGCTGGCAGCAAGCTCTCTGTGCTCAGAGTCAGAGCTCTCCAGGTCCCTGGAGCTCTTGGGAAGATGTGAGGCTCTTGAGAGGAAAACGGTGACCTTTGAGAACATTGTCTGTGTGCTCAATCGGGAGGTGGAAAGAGTGTCTCTAACAGCTGAAGCCTACAGTCGGCAGCATCGACTAGACCAGGAGAAAATCGAAACACTGAGTAACAAGGTGTGTAACCACTGGCTTGGGCTTTCCAGCACTCTGAGCAGAGACTTTTCAGTTTCCTTTCCATGTTATTAGCTAGCAAAGCTTCACCGCCTAGTCCTGAAGCTTCACAAATCTGAAGGCAGAACTAAAATATCGTTTGTGCCTGTGCCCAACTCTCAAAAGCTTCCTGGAAGATGGGAATTAAACTGAGATGCATTCAGATCTCTTGTTAGAAATCAAGTTATGCAGACACCGAGATGTTGTTGTTCTTAGGTGAAGATTTCCAACAAGAGAAAGAGCACCCAGCATTTCATTTGGATCTCTCTGAATCCATGGGGCTGTGCACCTTCCAGACCTTTCAAAAGGAGTGTAAACATTGATGCTGTGCTATGGTGTTGTGCAGAGCATGGTCTGGAGGTGTGAAGAATCTGCCCCCAGCAGTATGCTCCAGCACAATCCCTGCTGAGCACTGCCAGCACTTGGCAACTGGGAGTTGTGCAGTTTGCAGTGCACCTGTGCTCTCTTGGCAAGGCAGCTGCCAAAACTGCCCTGACTCTCTGTTAGGTAGCAGTGATTAACCCTCTGGAGACCTCGTTGGCTGGGTATAGGTTCTTCTCCTTTTTGATCTACTTTTGTCGCAATGCTGACTCGTTGTTTTTTTTCCCCTCCCTATCTTCACTACTTTTGCTGCTATCGTAACGGAGCTGCTCATTGGGAGGATTTTTCCATTCACTGTGGGAAAGTTTCTAGCTCAAACACTGAGTTGTATTGATGCATCTTCTCCAGAATGACAGGGTTCAGAAGGCAGTTCAGTGAATTGGCTTACAGTGCTGAATTTCTCCCTCCCATGACCCCTGTCAGTTCTGGAGAATGTCTCTTGCTAAAGAGTCATCCTGAAGGGGATGCTGGTGTCTACTGGCTTTCTCAGGTCTCACAGCAGTACGTGTTTCTAACCAGGCTGCACCGTATATCCCACTGAGCAGGTCCGCCAGCTGGAAAGGAGCATTGGGCTCAAAGATCTGGCCATGGCTGAGATGGAGGAAAAGATCCGCAACATGGAAGCTTCCACCTACGATGGTGTTTTCATCTGGAAGATAACAGAATTTGCCAGGAAGCGTCAGGAGGCGATAACAGGCCGCTCTCCTGCAATCTTCTCTCCAGGTTATTGCCCACAAATTTGCGAAACTGCAAAAGCCTTCTGTGTCTCAGCTGGGTGTGGGATTTGCAGTGGTGTCCTTAGCAGGGGAGCTGCTGGCCATTCAGGTGTTCTTCTGTTCTTCTTTCCCCGTGGAGCCTGAACCACTACTTTTTTTTTTTTTTTGGCATTGAGCAAAATGAAACTGCTGCTGAAAAAGGTGCTTTTTTGATTGCAGAAGACCTTTATAATTTCTCATAATGGAGAATGCAACCCTCTTAGCTCTGGAATAGCCCTGCATAACCCTTTAGTTAGAATTAAAATACTCAGAGACCATAAAACCAGCAGTAAAATTATGAAGGAAGAGAGGAAATATCTGAGCCCCAGAAATGTATTTCAGTGCCTAAAGCATGATGGTGCAAGGGACTATGTCTAAAGCCCAAATCATACCTAGGGAAGTGCTTGAATATATGTTGGAGGAAGAGGCTCTCCTTGCAGAACTGCCCCAGCCCAGCACTGTTCCTCCTGTTCTTAAAAAAGAAAATCTTGGACAGTGAGCAGTAGGTTATAATCTGGCTTGTTTGCTTATGGGAGCACTTCCCAGGCTTGCAGCTGTAAGATGAAACCATCTCTTCACACAATTTCATTGCTCGTTGAGGAGCTCACCTTGCAACAGAATGGTTGAAGAGGGGTGTCTGTGTCTGCCTGAGCAGGAATCACTTAGATCTAAGTGTGCTGGAGAGCTTTTTCAAAATGCCCAGAGCTGCATGCAAACTCAGAGCACGTACCTTACACCTGCTTCCTGGTGCTGTGAAAAAGCAGACTGGCTGAGCTACAAGATAAAAGCAATTGAATTTTTAAAACTACTTTAAAATCTGGGTTTTGGATGAAGGCTGTTGAGTCCATTTTTTCTCTTGAAAAACTGAAATAAAAACGGTTTCCTCTTCTTGAGGAGGGAACTAAACTGCTACTGAAACTGCACATGCAATTAGCATTTCCTTTTAAAAGTCAGCAGCAGCTGTGGAAAACCCCTGCTCTCTGTCCCCGTCAGGAAGGGCAGCACTTCCTTCCTTTTCCCAAAGCCAACAAATCAGCTTCAAATCTATTTTATTTGATTTAGAGGACCTTAAATCTTGCATCCTGTCCATCTCCTACACTGCACTCAAGAGCTGCTTGACCTGACAGTCTCCAGAGGCTGCAGTGTGGAGGGAGATGCTGGATGGAGCTGACTCTTGTCCTCTGGCCATGGGCATCCTGCTTGCTGTGCCCTGTCTTGGGGGCTCCTCGGACCCCTCCGTGTGCTGATGCCACCTGGGGTCCCTGCAGAGGGTGGGATTTATTTTTCTAGGTTGGAGAATCAAGTCAGCTGGTGGAGGTATATAAGTATCAGAGTCAGCCCAAGGGAGGGAAAGGGGTGAAACCTCTCCAAATTCAGGAGGCTTTGTATGTGCAGACGTTTGTCTGGCTGTGCTCTGAATGCACAGTCCCTCCCTGAGCTGCAGCTCATGGTTGCTGATGCCTCCTCCTCCTCCACGCTGTGTACTGGTAGGTCTCCATCCCCTGCCTGGCAGTGGTGACAGGGCAACAAAGGCAGGGCTCAGGGCTTTTATAAACTCTTTCATCAAAGAGTTTATTTTCACAACTACTTTGTGGGCCACCAGACTGTGTTTTATGTTGCTGGTGGGTTTCTGCACTCTGCTCATGAAAATCTTGTCTGTGGCTGGCGGGATTGGAAGGTGAGGGTGCCTCTGTCCGACGCTAGAACCTCTGCTGGAAAAGGCAGGACTTTTTTTTTTAAATCTTGCAAGTGCAAAGTACAAGGCCTTGTTTCCTGTAGAATTCGATTGTGTCATTTAGACAAGAGATCCTTGTTCCTGATGCTGCTTTAGCTGAGAAAATTAGGCTGAGAAACAAATGGTTCTTTTGCAGGTGGACTTTTTTAGTCTTAGAAAGTGAAGCAAATAGACTAGTGCTGTTCAGTTTGGGAAGGAGACAGCTGTGAGGAGAGAGGTCTGGGTTGTGAATAGGATGAAAAAGGGAAATAAGTATAACTGTTTGTTTTGTATTTAAATGTAAAGATGAGGAAATGCCAAATGAAATCTGTGTTAAACCAAAGAGAAGGAAGTAAGGTTACCACTCACTCAACTTTGTAAGGACATGATTGCTACAGGATTTTGCAAAGGACAAAATCATAAAATTCAAAAAGGCAAATCCTCAAAAGAAATGTTCATGGGCGTGAATTGGGACAGACCAAAGTGAAGTTCCTGCTGGAAAGCCACGTGCTCTGGACATCAGATGCTGGGGGGCAGCTTGCTGGGCTTTTGCTTTGCTACTGATGTGCTTTGCCTTTGCTGGGCCAGTGGGAAGCAGGATGCTTGGGTCACTGCTCCGAGCTAGTAGCGTGGTGCACGAGGTGTTCAGCACTCTAGCTGTCTGGTGCCTTTTCTTGCGTACTCCCACTTCTCTGACCAGCCATCCTTTCAGTTCCCCACCTGGCTTTATGTTCACAGGGTTACAGGAGTGCTGAGAAGCCTGGGGGGTGGTGAGGATCTGCCGCTTGGACTAGCAGAGGGTGGCATCCACCCTTGAAAGCCTTTGGGTAAAGCAGGTGGAGAGGGAGGACTAGAGGAAACGAGTTGGGGAGTGCCAGGAGGGAAGGGGTGACAAAGCCCTCATCTCTTGCTCCTCACCCTGTGGAAGTGCACAGTATCTCTGCTATTGCTAGTCTGCCTGTTCCTAAAAGTGCACTGAGTCCTGCAGAAGGTGCCAGTTCTGATCTCTTGCCCCATGCCCTGAGGCTGTTGAGCCTCACTAGACCTGAGGCATGTAGCTCTGTGCTGCTGAGAGGGCAGTTTGCAGTAGGTCCCCTTCTGAAGTGTGTTTCTGTGGCCCTGCACGGGTCTGGTATCACAACATGGGCATTCCCAGAACTGCTGGAGAAGGAGAGAGCCTGGGATCCCAGAGCCCATACCCAGTGGTGCAGGGTGGCTGGGATCCCAGTGGGACATTGAAGCTCAACTCTTTGAGCCCTTGGCCCCATCAGAGGCAGCCAGCTTACAGAGAGGGTGAAGTGAGTACTGAGGATGGTCTACCCCCAGACAGGGTTTTTTGGGGTGGTTTTATTCCTGCTCATCAACATTATTGCCACAAACTGCAGCTCCTTTAGCAGTGATGTGCAGTGCAGCTGGTGGATCTGGAGGGGGATGCAGTGGGCAGTGCCCAGCTCCCAGCACTGCTCGGGGGGCTTGTGCCTGTGGTGGTGGGTGGGGAGAGCCCAAGGGGCCAGTGGTGCCCTGCTCTGCCCCACAGCCATCTGTGTCTCGACTGGACCAGGGGCTCGTGACTGCCTGACCTTGGGCTGTCTCCAAGCCAGTCTAAAAGGGCATCTGTTAGTTGCAAACCACCTCTGTGGTGCAGGTGTTTTAAGACCCAGACCTGGCTTCTTCCAGGACCCAGGTCCTCAGAGTTCAGAGGAACCTGCTGGTGCCAGGCTTTGCTGGGCTGGATGCTCACTGTGTCTGTTTTGCAATCTTCGGTAGCTTTCTACACGAGCAAGTACGGCTACAAGATGTGTCTGCGTGTTTACCTGAATGGGGATGGCACCGGGCGAGGGACCCACCTGTCCTTGTTCTTTGTGGTGATGAAAGGACCCAACGACGCACTCCTGCGGTGGCCCTTCAACCAGAAGGTGGGTTTGGGACAGCGCCCGCCGTGGCCAGCAGTGTTGCTTCTCTAGTTTTTCACCCACTTGAGCTTTCAGACACCGTTGGTCTGGCCTAGTTAGCAAGCAGAAGAAGGAAGGACTTTGATATATCAGCAGCCCTGGGGATTCCCCAGTGTTGCTGAAAGCAGCAAGCGTGCTGCAGGGCGGGGCACGACACGGCAGAGGCTGGGGCAGGAGGGCAGCAGCATGATCGGGAGGCGAGCGGAGCCTCTGCCTGAACTCACGTGAGGAAAGGTTGTCCTGGCTTTGATATTCGGGGTGCAGCTGATGCTCACTTGGCATCAGGAGCTCAGATTGCTATTCCTAGATGTTGCAGGTTTGTGAAACACTTCAAAGCTGAGCAGGTGTAGTATAGGGAGGGAGGGAGAAACCACCTGCTTTCACAGGGGGACGGCAAGTCTAGGACTCCATGAGGAACCTGTGTGGGGTATTGGCATTGGGAGCAAACACCATGTCAGCCACTTTTAGGTTGTCAGAGTCAGTCTGACAGCTCTGTGCTGCCACACAGAAGTTTCCAGTGACAGGGCAGGATGTGGAAAGGTTTCTGCAGAATGTGACTGAGATGACATTGTCCACTGGCCCTACTTACAGGCATTTCTCAGGCTCATGATGTGGCTCTGGTTCCATTGGTATTTGCATGTTTCACAGGCTTCAGGTGAGCAGGTTACTGGACAGAGTTTCCATGTGCTTTTTATTCAGCCACGCTTGTATATTTTCACATTTCCCTCAGGTAACCCTGATGCTCCTGGATCAGAACAACCGGGAGCACATCATTGATGCCTTCCGACCCGACGTGACATCCTCCTCCTTTCAGCGACCCATCACAGAAATGAACATTGCCAGCGGCTGCCCGCTGTTCTGCCCCGTCTCCGTGATGGAAGCCAAGAACTCCTACGTGCGTGATGACGCCATCTTTATTAAAGCCATCGTTGATCTCACAGGCCTCTAACCCTCCTCACCTCCGGGAGCAGTGAACGCAGAGCCAGCCCCAGGTGGGGCATCCCCCTCTTCAGGCAGGTCTCGGAGCAAGGAGGGGGCAGAAAGCAGAAGGGGAAAAGCCCTTCCCAAAAAAGGGACCTTCACTCTGAGTGGAAACAAGGTGTCTGATGGGAACCCTCTTCCCTGGTGTCAGAGAGACCTTCCCTGAGAAGAGGTTTGCATGGACGTTCACAGTCTACAGGTACAAGAAGATCTCCTGCAGGGACTTGGGTGTCCGAACTGCCGCTGTCTGGGCTCCCAGTGGAAATCAGTGCAGCTCTTGCTCTACCAGTTTAGTGCAGATCTGCAGTGCTCTGTAGTAAAACAAGGGTTTGGCCCGACCAAGCACCACCTTGTGTGGATGTTTGGCTCAGCCACCTAGGATTTTCTGCAGAGATCTCTGTGTTCCTGGAAGTTTTGTGTGCTGCAGGGTTGCTGTTGCTCTGTGCTGCTGGCTGGTCTGTGCCTCGGTGGACAGGAGGGCTGCATGGCAGGCTCACTGCAGGCTGGGTCAGAGGTGCAAACAGTTTTCCTGATGTTTTAATGACATCAGTGTCCTCAGAGGTGCTGAGCTGTGTGGCCAGAGGGGGTGTGGTACCCCGAGTCTGGCCCTCCCTGTGGCCTGGGAGGGAGTGTGGGGTAGCACTGGGGATGCCCATGGTGAAAGAGAAGTGACTGTCCCCTGGAGACTGCTTGTCTTGTCCCAGGAGAGGAGGGTGATGCAGGGCTCAGTGCAGGATGTCACACCCCTCAACCCCAAGAGCCCCAGGTGAGTTTTTAGCCAGACCCTGCCATTCTCTGCCTGCCCGTGCCTGAGGCAGAGGTGGGCAGGATGGTGGCAGTGCTGGCAGGTGTCTTTACTCACACACAGATGCTCCTGAGCTGGCTTTCAGCCCCATTGTGGGGCAGCTGCAGCAGCACAGGCACACCAGCCTTCCCAGGGCCTTCTCCAGCGGCCAGGCACGTGCAGCTGCAGCTCCACTGCTGTCTGCACCTACGCTGCTGCCATCCGACTGCATGGGCGCTGTCACCTCTGCAGCTGCCTGCACAGAGAGCGGCTGCTGGCCAGCCTGTGCCCTCCCCAAGGGGCTGCCTTGCCCACCAGTGGCAGCTTTGCCCTGTCCCCTTGGCTCTGGGGACAGCGTGCCTGCCGGTTTCTGGTCATTGCACACTCTGCTCGGCCCCTCGCTGAGGCTGCAGCCCCCTGGTAGAAGCTGGGGTGTCTGGAGAAGTCCCAGAGTGAAGCTTGCTGTCCCCTTCTTGTGCCTGGCCTCCTGGCACCACTTCTTTCTGGGCAGCAAGCGTTCAGCACCCACGAGAAGGTCTCTGTGGAGAAGAAACTGCTGCTACGTCCCTGGGGTGTGGCTGGCTGGTCCCTTGGAGTTGTTTTGTTGTGGCTGTAGCACTGGGCAGGTAGTTAACCAGGCTGGACGCTGGAGGCTTTGCTGCCTTCTCTGCCTGTGCTCCTCTTGCCTGCTTCAGCTTCCGAACATGCCCCAGGAGAGGTTTTGTTGGTCCCAGGAGCTGGCTGCTGAGCCCACCTTGCAATAATAGCCCAGGACCTGGTCCAGCTCCTGTGCTGCTCCTCGGGCTGGGAAGGGGCACAGTGAGGCTGGAGGGTGGTCACCCTCTTCTTGCTTGTAGCTGCCATGGGTCACCCTGGGCAGGGAGTCACAGGCCCAGGGGACATGAGGCTGTGGTGGAGGAAGGCCCAAAGCCCCTCTGCCTGCAGCTCCCTGCCTGGTGGACACAGACTCCACCTTGCTTGGGCTCTGCTCCCACCGCTGCTCCAGCACAGCCACCCCAGTGGGCCAGGGACACCATGGGTGGGGAGGAGCTGTGGCCCAGCAAGACCTGCGTCTCTGCTGTCCCCTGGGCTGTGGCACCGCACTGATTGCCTGCTCCTGGGGTGCTTTGGGGTGTCCCTGCTGCTGCCTGGGGAGCTCGGGGGGTGCCTGATGTCCTCCAGGCTGGTGGGTAGGTGAGCTGGACCCTGATCCTGGCTGAACCTCCTGCACCCAAGCGTGCTGCACTGCCTGCCGATGGGTGCTGGGATGACCTTTGAGCCCCCCTTTGGAGTCTCCCCGTGCATCTTGTAACACCTGCTGTGTGCAGAGGCTGCAGCCGGGAGCACACTCCACTGTTTCAGCAGGAAGGGGACAGGAGCCTGTGCTGGGGTGAGCACAGCCACTGCAGGTGAGGTAGCATGGGCTGGGAAACCTGCTGGCGTGGCTGCTGCGACCCTGGGGAAAGGTGAGGGCAGGGGAACAGGCAGGGGCCTGCCCCCTCCTTCCCCAGGGCAGATGGTCAGTAGGTGTGTGTCCACCCACAGCAGCCCGTAGCAGAGCAGAGTGGGGCTGGGCAGCTGCCTGCACCCTGCCTTGCTGCCCCTGCCCCCTTGGCTCTACTCAGAGGTGGGAGAGGGAGGGCAGGACCCTTCCTTTGTGTGAGCCCCAGCCTGTCACCGGGCATGGATCAAGCCCTGTGTTGCCATTCTCACCTTATTGCCTTAGGAGGAAAACAAAAAGCTTATCAGAGCCTGAGAGCCCTGCTCGCACCCGCACAGCTCTGCACCGCCAGGGCCGAGGGAGGCTCCCAGCCCTGCAGAGGCTGGGAAGGGCCTGGAACGGGGGAGGAGAATCTCCTCCTCCCATTCAGCACTTGGGAATTAAGTATATTCTATGAGGTGGGAGCAGGGAAGCTTGGTCTGAGCTGATGTGTCTTTGCTCTTGGGGTGCTGGACGCCTGCAGCAGGGCCATGTGGCTCTGGCCAAGTGGTGCCTGGGGTGCCTGTGGAGGTGCTGGCTCAGCTGGGGGGCCTGGGCTGTTACAGGGAGTGGGTGCTGGTCCCCCTGCCCAGGCAGGTGCCTGGATGGTGGGTGGGAGAGTCAGTGCTGCGAGCAAAGCTGAGGCTGAGCCCCTGCAGCCTGTGGAGGGGCTGTGCTGCCGTTGGGAGAGGGGCACCCTGGGCCATGGCACAGCAGGTGAGCCCCTGCGACAGCAGCTCATAGTTGCCACGGTCTTTCCCTTCCCTCACCCGTGGCTGAGGGGAGGCAGATCTGGTGCTCACACACGCTGTCTGCTCCTTTTTCAGTTTTCAGCAGTTCTGGCGCTCACAGTGGGAATTGTGCGTGTCCCTCACAGCAGCCTGTGCGCTGCAGGCAGGGCTGTGGTACCTTCCCGGACACAGCTCTACCAGCCCAGCTGGCACACAGATGGACACTCGGCACAAGCCACTACTGGATTTAATTTTTTTTTTTCCCTTTTGACCACAGCTATGGGAGAACACCCATCCCAGCCTGGCATTGTGAAGTAAGTTTTTTTTTCCCTTGAGGATGTAGTATGGTCAAAACCACTAATAAAAGCCATTTGAATAGTGCTGTTGTATCATCTCTGGGGTGCTGGGGCTCCAGCACTGCATGGAGTGGAACAGGTGCAGGGGCAGCTGACCACCACCTTGGGCTGGCGTGTTACTTCAGTGCTGTGTGCTTTCCCCAGCTGCTGCCTCGGGGGTTCTGCCCAGCACCAGCACTGTGAGCTTCCAGTCAAGGGGGGCTGGAGCAGGCAGGGAAGGAGCTCCCGGACCTGGCTGCAGGAGGGTCACACATACAGGGGCCACAAGGCTGTTTGCTGGGAGTGGGCACAGCACTGCTGGGCCAGCAGAGGGGAGCTGCAGAACAACTGGAAAAGCAAATCCAACATGTTACACTCGTGTTCCTGGGAGGTGGATAAAGCAGCTGCTGAGCTACTCTACGACAGGCTGGGTTTTAGCTGTTGTTAGGAGCCAGGTGCCTGGGCTGACCCTGGCATCCCTGTCCTGCCTGTCCAGAGCTGCAGCTGAGAGACTAAACCCATGCCAGGAGCAGCAGCATGGCTGTCCCTACATGTGTGTCTCCAGAAAAGAGAAATAGAAGGGGGGGCCTGTCCCTTCCAGGGAGCAGATGCTGCTGCAGCACAGGAATTCCAATGGGCAGCACAGGGCTGGACACTGCTTGCTCCCTGCTCCATGTCTTAGTGCTTTGAAAAACCCAGAAAGCAAGGAGGGACACATTGAAGCCAGGATGCTCCAGGCCTGGGCCCATCTTGGAGCCTGTAGCACTCAGCCTTGACAGGAAAGAGCTTTCCAGAGGCTGCCATGTACAGCTGCTCCCCTTCTGTCCTGTCTTCTTCCCCAAGGGCAAAAAAGATTGGGGTGATTTGGGCATCTCTCCTGTTGGTTTACACCTTTCTGCCCACACAAGTTGGTCAGCTACTCCCACTGCACCCCAGCAGTGTAGGCACAGCAGTGTGTCACTCCTGGCCTCAGTGCTGCTTCAGTAGAACAGCACTCAGAAAAACAAGCTTGCAGTGCCAGGATGCTTTAGCAGAATATTTATTTAATACCATAGTGAAGAGCAAAACTCAGTACAAACATAAACCCTCAGTGCCTTGCTCACTACTACACCGAGCCAAGGGAGAAGAGATTTCACAATCTTGGGAGAGGAGGGAGGAAGGCAGAGGCTGCTCCTTTGCTGTGTGACTAGACAGAGCGCTGGGGAGGGATCCTGTGTGCACACACATAAAGGACTCCCTTGTTTATGGAACGCCTGTGATGACAGAAAACCTGAGTACAGGAGTTTTGGATAAAGCCATGGGCACCCGCTGGGTCACAGCAGAAAGAGGGCACAAGCCCTCCTGCCAAGGGCCACAGGAGCTGTTAAAGCCATCAGTGCATATCAGACAGTATCTGCTGCCTCCATTAAGTCTATTTGCAACCCAAGGCTGTGAGTGGCAGAGACAACTGCCACTGGTGCTCCCGGGGGAGTCCCAAAACGCCTCCCCCAGCCCCTGCCTGGGATGAAGCTCCCTTCCAGACACAGCCCAGAACCCAGCTCCTAGGAACAACTGCAGCTCCTGGGATCCAGCCATCCGGACCAAATCAAGATTAGGAGCTTAATTTTAGACTCTTACATTTGGGTACCTGCTGCAGGGAGAAAAGCTTCAGGGACAGATACGGAGTAAGCACCATCAAGTTTTGTAACTGCTTCAAGTGAGCCAGCTCCCTTGTCAGAGGGGTCCTGGGGAGGAGCTGATCACTGAACCCAGGGCCAGTCAGCCCAGGTGGGGGAAGCTTATTCAACTGTCATGTCAAGCAGAGGGTGGCTGCACTCCCCCAGGCACCGGCAGGTGAACACCTGCAGCCACCCATGGGTGCCTACACCTATTCAAGGAGAACATACCCAGAGAACCGAAAGTGCCATGATTTGAGTAGCATGGGAGGGAGGTGACCACAAGACCCACCAGCCATCCTTACAGCTGCCACCTTGAGAGGGGACAGCAGATCCCCTAGAATAAATACGTGACCAATGCCACAGCTTAAGTGCTACTTAGCAGAGGAAGACAGGGGCAAAGCCAGCACCATGTTACCACCAGCCCTCCCCCCTCTCAAGTTTGGAAACCAGCGATATCAACACATAGTTGCTAACAGAAGGCATCGACAGGGCACTGGCTGCATCCCTGGGGGCCACACAGGACACCAGCCAGGCCCACCCCAGCCCTGCCTCCCCCACTGCCCTCTCACTGCCCTTCAGTCCCTGCTGCCCTCCGGGGCCAAAGCGCCACATGGGAGGAGGCACTCAGCATCACCCAGTTGCCTGTGGAGGTTTGGGACAAACAAACATTAATAAAACTACTATATTAAAAGAGTCCTGCAGTAAGGCAGCACAGCACTGTACTGCGGCTTCTGCCAAGTGGTCTGCAGCCAGTAGCTCTTGGCAGGGTCAGCCACGTCCCAGGCTACAGAGTACAAACGCTGGAGATGTGCTTCAGTCTGTTCTCAGGGACCAAAGCTCGCCCAGAGAGAGTTGTGACCAAGTAGCAGCATTGGTGAGAAGCTGTGGGGAGCCCACCCTGCAGTGACCAGCTCGGGCTGCTGCCCGCCAGGCCCAGGAACTAGCCCTCGGCTCTTACATTCTGTCTTTGAAGCAGATGCCCCAAGGAGGAAGCAATTCCCACTACTGGGGTCCCTCCTGACTCAGCAGATGGGATTTATGTGCCCAGAGCTCGTCTCTGTTGTG